CCCTCCCTCTCTCCTTCTCCGTCCCTCCCTCCCTCTCTCCCTCCCTCCCATACACACATGCATGTTCAAACTATGAATTCTAATTTACAATTTATTTTTCTGCCTTTTATGTTGATGTTTGAATTCCAAGTATTTTGTTTTCCGCAACTAATCAAAATAAGTTTCTTTCATGTACTCCCGTTTTAAAAATTAGCAAAAATTTTCAAGACCCTTTGTGGCCTGGGCCCAGATGCTGAGTCATCCTGTAACAGATCATTAGGTTACCAAACAAGAAGGGATCCCCACTATGTAAAAAGGTTTTTTGTATAAATTCAGCCAAGCAACCTTATCTTCTGGAATGTTGAGGGTAGATCACAGTATGTTCTTTCTCTTGATTTTTCTTGCCTCAGTGGCCAGGAATTCTAGCTGAACCAGTAGACCAGGAACAGGGTTTGTTAATGTATATAAGAGAAATCCTGTTATTTTTCTAACAGCCTGAATTTTTCAGGGATACCTATAGTGACAGAAGTGGAAGTAGCTCCCCCGATTCTGACATCACAGAACTGAAATTTACTGCAGTGAATCTTGAGTAAACTGCTGGTAAAATCTTATTTTTCATTTTCTGGGTTTTTAAAATGGTTTCTTTCCCTCTTTGCTTGCCTCACATTTCCTGGGAACAGGGGATGGTGTGGGAGTCAAAATTACCAGGTTAAAGAATATTTTTCAAAATACCGATAAATTGGATATAAATATCTCTGATCTTCCTCTTTTTCTCTCTCTTCATCCCAACCTAGCCACCGTCCAGGTGTTTGGAAATTCTTCACTGGACAACCCTACATCCTGAGGATCTTGTAGATCATGTTATTATAATTGTTTTTATTTTTGGGGGACATCTTGTCATTATTTTTATTTTATTTTATTTTTTAAAAGAAATTATTCCGAGAAACTGACACTGCTGCTTTCTTGTGCTCAGCGGTGAGCTTACAAACCTGAAGTGCAGACGCTTGAGGGCAGGAAGAGACGTGAGGAGGACACGTGAGGAGCTTTAACAGGCCAATGGAGATGCTCGCAGAAGAGGCCACGCAGAATCTCTCTTCAGGGTTTTGATTCTTCTCCAGTGTTGGAGGTGCACCATGGCAGGCTACCCCAAGCTTTTAAAGTATTCTAAAACCAAACTGGTGCTACTAGACCTAACGTTGCTTATTAACCTTTCCCGAGAGTATGATTTCCCTGTTCACAAGATGAAGGGCACTCTGACGCCAAGCAAGTGTGGCCCCACATTTAAAGATGTTTTTGAAAATGCGAGTACGTCCATCCCCTTCCCCCCCCTGCCATTTTACACATTCACTGGGGACGGGGGGGGGGGGGGGAAGCGGGGTTTTTTTTTTGTTCAGCTTCCTGAACTGGACCCCATTTCCTTCCATCAAGGGGGGGGGGTGGCAGGGTGGGGGGAGTACACGTGTATGAAAAAGTGACTTTTCAAGAAGTTGCCTTTTGCACCTCTCGTGGAGAGCTTTGCCTTGGACTCGAAAGAAGCACTGAGGGGTTCGGGGAGAGACCTCCCTACACGGAACGAAGAGCCTCTGTTGGCGTGTGGGCCGTCCCAGGCACTTGTCATTTACAGGGGGATGCACCTGCCCAGCGACACGCAGGTGCAGCCTTAGGAGAGAGAAAGGATGAGCCTGCAGATCTGGAGGGGTTTTTTTTTTTTTTAAGAAAAATGTGGTTTGAGATCTTTTCCCAGGGGCAGGTTCTAAACTTGGTTTTCCAGCAAGTTAGGTGAAACAGTGTGTTAGTGCAAAGATATTGGATGTACAGATCCTTTTCAGTTCATTAAAACTTTGGGAAACAGTTGGTCTGCTCTGTCTGTTTATATAACTTGAAAACTCCCCCCCCCCTGCCCCCCCCCTTTCTCTTAAAATTTCATCATATTGTCCCTTCCTTCCTTCCTTCCTTCCTTCCTTCCTTCCTTCCTCCCTCCCTCCCTCCCTCCCTCCTGATTATTGCTGACATACCTGGAATACTACGGTAGAAAATGATGGTAGAAATAGTACCATCCCAACTCCACTGCCCCCAAATCGCATTAAAGGGCCAACTGAAAACTTCCCAGGACCCATTGTCTAATGTTTACTCAAGGAATTAACTTAGCTGCTGTTCATTAACACATGGAAAGGAGGTCGCTATTATTTATAATCTGAAACATCCACCCATATAAATGCAGGTAGATGTCAGTTAAAGAATATTAGCCATAAGCCAGGTTTAGACTTGCTTGAACATCACTGGAATCCCAGCAGTAACCCTGTTTCCCCCCCCCCCCTTTTTCTAAGGGGAGAATTGCCCATAGCAGTGATAGCCACACGGTGAAAAGCGGCAGAAGGAAGGGCAGGTTAGAGAAGGGGAAATGATGCCGTGTTAATATAGTTGCAGATAATGTTTTTTTTCCCTTTAAATACCCATAACATGAAATGTATTGATGCACAAGAGTGCATGTGCAAAAGGGGTGGGTTTTCCTTCACTTTCATCAACCTGACTGGTTGGATAACACACACACACATGCAGAGAGAAGGGAAAAATTGCTTTCTCCAATGTTGGTTGCCATAGGATATTCTACATGGATTGGAAAGAGGTAAGCCAAGCCCAATAACGGCCACCATACTCTTGACACAAGATGACCGTAGGTAGATCCAAGCTTTTAACTGGGCCACGTTTTCTTTGCCCTGGTATGTGCTGTCCTCCAGCTGATTATGGACGGCATGGCTTAAAGTTACAAGATGACGCAGCATTTCGTGCTGTTACTCTGCGAACGTATTTGCTGTTGCAGGTTTTCTTTCTCCTTCAGCAAGTCACCTGTTTTCACTTCCAGCTTCTTGATTTCCTGTGTCCATTTCTGGGAAATTTACAAAGTCATGGTCATTCCCTTCCCCATAATAGTGATGGCCCAATGACCAGCTTGTTTTGCAAGTTGGACTCTGGTGATGGCATCAGGAAAGCCAGAAAGTCTCTTAAAGGCGTAAGGAGATTATCTGGCTTGTCCTTCTTTCTTGCATGAGCCTAGCAGGAACGTGTTATTTCGGAGCACCTTAATCTTTATTCTGCAGAAGGTTGACTTCAAAGCACCGTAGCAGGAAAAAAAAATTGTCTTGAATATTTTAATTGCTGGGTTGCTAGAGAGAAGATTGACCCCAGTGCTCATCAGTGGCTAAACTCTACCTATGATTTTAATTGGAAAGGATTTAGCAGTAAGGTAAAACTGCTTCCTTCCAATGGCCTTTGAGAGCTTTAAACTTGCTTTTCAAGGATGAAAGTATTCCTGAGAAAAAGCATCAATTCTGACACAAGCCACCTCCTTCAACCCCCTCGCTCCAATTTTATATGTTGGGGAACTTTCAAATTTACTTCTTTATGTCATCATCATTTTTTAACTACCCCATAATCCCTTGCGGGATGGAGTCTGGGCAGCTGAACGGAACTAGCAGAGAGTTTAATGGCCGTATGCCTTTCCTGTCACCAGTGTGGAGTTTTGTTCAGCAGATATATTCTCACTTGGGCCCAGAGAAATATCTGCACCTACCTAGGATTGAACTCACAGCCTCACAGAACTCCACCTCTAGGCCTCTGTGTGTGTGTGTGTGTGTGTGTGTGTGTTCAACAGCTAGAATTTGGTTTGGTCCCCAAGCGCTTTATACAAGATACACAAAATCTGAACGTTACCTGCCGGCACCACTCTTGGATAGCGCTTCCAGAGAGGGGTCCTTGGATGCTGCCATCTCGCCTCAGGTACACCTCCCCCTGATCTGTTTCGTACAGGAGAGGTTCTGCGTGCGGCTTGGGAGGATGGACGCTGAGCCGGATGACTTTGAGAAAGATGCCCGTGTCTTCTGCTTTGATAACTGGGACGAAGCTCAGCGTGTAGGCGGTGGGGAAAACCTGCGGCTTGAAGGTTTTTAAAAGAGAGTCGGTCAGCAGGCGGATTCTGTCTTCTTCTTTGTGGTCGCATTTGACGCCACGCACCAAGCCGTTGTCCTCAACCCCCACGAAAAGACTGCCCCCTTCACTGTTGAGAAAAGCACAGGTGTACTTCCGCAAGTGATGCTTCAGCGTTGTCGTCAGGTATTCTCCGCTTCCTTGCTTGAATTCCACGTTCCGCGTCTCTCCACCAATGAAAGCTCCGTAGAACAGGCATTCTCTCCCAACAATCTCTTTGTGGACAATGGCACTGTCAGAGCGGGTGCTGTTCAGGAAAGTCACTGGCCAGTCGACCAGTCTCCAAGGGTAACGAACACTTTTTCTGAGGGGATTAGCTCTGTTGTCATTTGGCAGTGGCTTCCTTCTCTCAGGTCCCGAGGATCCTCCTAGGATTGCATCTGATCTGCTTCCCATGGAATCACTCTGTAGGCATGATGAGTAAAATTCAAGCGTATAGTCAAATGTCACCAGAAAAAGGACTTGCGGCTTTGTAAGAATGTAGGTTCCTGTTTTGGTTGAGCAATTGTGATAAAAATTACATACCTGCATTGATCCAATCTTTCCTGTTGTGCTTTATATACAAACACTGGTGTTTAAATGAGGAAGGAAGGGCTTAAATATTGGCTCTGATTGTTTTTGAATTCTAAAAGCTGAATGGCTCTCCCAAAGGTGCTGTCATGCCCCTGTTGGAGTCTGAATCTGAGGAGGAAGACGAACAGCTGACAGGGAGCAGGAATGTGGCTCTATTGGCTGTGGAGGAAACGGGAAGAGCCAAGTCTGGCTGGGCAGAGCAGGGAAGAGGTAGAATAAGGGAGAAGGAGTTCAGAGGAAGACCCAGGCCCACCCCCTCTTCATCCTAGGGCACTGTGGGAACGGAGAAGAGAGCAACATGAGTTGCATGGCTTACCGGGAGGAAAGGGCCCTGATTCCCTTCATTAGCCACATCTGGGAATGTTTAAAAGAGTTTAAAAGAACTGAATGATGACTGCGGCAGCTGCTGGGAGCAAACATGACTATCTTGTGTTGACTTTGGTTATCTGCGTTCCTGGCATCCTCCCAACCATGTTGAATTACTGTTGTTCCTTCATGTCTGAAATTCCTTCTCTTTCCCTGCCAGACTAATTATCTCATCTTGATTGGACTTATAGTTACAATTTTTGTTGACCACATTTTCGACTTGATTCTCTGCAGCCAAAGGCTGTTTCTGGGAGAGTTTTTCTCCAGCCAGAAGGTAACCAGGATATTGGGGGGCAAAGTTGGAGCTAACAAAGGGACTCTACTGACTATCTGACTATGTTGCCTTTGTGCCAAGCCCCAGGTCATCATAGGTGCTTTTTCAAAAGGCAACTGAATTTTATTTTTCCTTGAAGACTTTTTGCTCCTCATCCAAGAAGCTTTTTCAGTTCATGAACTAAAGAAGCTTCTTGGACGAGAAGCGAAACGTCTTCAGGGAAAAACAAAGTCCAGATGCCTTTTGAAACATCTTTGAGGCAACCATGACCTGGATGACCGAGAATCTCCATAGACACCGAATGGCTGTCGTTGATGAAAACTCTGAAACTAAGCAAGAGTTTACAATTCCAGATCTATACTGAGTTTGTCTCCTTTGTTGATTTAGAATAGCCAATTGTTAATATGTATAGGATACTTTGGGTCTCTGGTGAGGAATCATAATTGGCCTAGGATCTTAATATGCCATGGACATATTTCCCCCAAAATTTATGGCTAATAGGGCCATAAATTCCCCCCAAAATACAAGTTTCCTAGAGCTATATGGTTCAGCAATTATGAGTGTGACAATCCAATACATTTATATGATGTATTGATGTATCACATTGTTGGTGAGGCCTATATAAAATAAGTCAGTTTGAAATAATCATACCACATTTGTCTAAATTTCTTATTGCCTGTTGGCAATAATATGCTCTGAAGCGTATTGCAATAACTTGGGAGTTATTTAGTCAAATGGAATCAACATCTCCAGAGAACAAATCTGTTCTGTGTTAAATCCATTTGAACTGACACTTAAAAGCTGACTTTACCTTGCCTGCTGCAAATTAAACCTTGCTTAAGGGAACACAGAATTGTGGTGATAGACTTGAGAGAAGGTAGCTGGGTCCAGGCAACATGCTAAACCACAAATCTTTGGGGGGCTTTTTTAAACAAAAAAACAATTGCTGCAAAAGGTACTGTCTGCAAACAATGCCTAGATTTACCGTGACATGCTCATTTTAAGTACCTGGTGGATGCGCAGTTAAGACTATTCTGCTTTAATATTATTTTAAAGGAACGTGGAAAAATATCTAGACGTGCTAGAAATATTTTGTAATACACGTCATAGTGAATTAGATTGGGTGCTATCGGTTTGCTGAGAGAGAAAAGAAAAAAGGGCTTATGTGGCAAGGAATAAATCCCTTATTAGAATAGCCAGGCTTCTCCTTGCTATTCTGGGGGAAGGGAATTTATTTCCTTGCAAGGGAGAGGAAAAAGGCAAAAGGTGTACATTTCATGCACCTTGCTTCTTACACATGTATGTACATCTTTCCCCTAGTGTGCTTGGAGAAGGGGAGGATTCCAAGAACTTTTAAGTATCAGTAGCAGTTCACCAGTGGACTTGGACTTTTCCACCGTTCTGGCCTGCTTCAAGAATGCAACCTGGTATTAAATACCTTTCATGGTTGGTTTTTAAATGGAAGTTCGTAGGGGAATTCTAAGTACAAGAACGCTCTAGCTGGTGCAGTTTGCGTGATTCTTGATTTCTTTCTTCTCAGTGTTGCACAGCTGGGAAGCTCTTATATATTCTCAAGACTTTAGTAGTATATAATAGCTATCCTGCTTTTCCCACATAGTGTGTAACGAATAGATAGTATAGCTTTCTGTCAC